AAGGATGTTAAAAATTGAGCTGCCAGGGATGAGTAAAAGTGGGATATCGCAGAAAAGATTCATGGAAGTCATGAAGGAGGATATGCAGAGGGTTAGTGTGACAGAAGGCAAGGATTTGCTGTGGTGACCCACAAAAGGAACAGGTGAAAAAAAAGAAGAAGAATTAGGTGTGTTATTGGTGGGGAAAAACTCAAGTAAGAGTTGCTGTATGCAGCCCAGCAAGCAAGAACACTGCCAAGAAACTTTCTAACATTGCTCTCGACTGTCAGGTCTTAGTGATCCCTTGAGAATCTCCCAAGTTTGAAAATTGCCACGTATAGCCTCAACCCTCGAGTGGCATCAATTAATAGAAATATTTCTCCCTAATGTATGCACAGTAGCAAAATGACTAATTAATAACTACAGCATAACACTGCAGTCTGCTGGAAAATGTAACAATACAACAGAGAAGAAACTAGAGACACAAATTAGATTTGTATGATAATGACCATCATTACAGCCAAACACTGCAGAATTGTTGCAGCTTTCATGCAGTAATAATCCATATCCTCTTAATTACAGGTAGCTAGTATTGCCATTAAAGGCAGATCATCACAACTGGACTGTTAGGATCAGTTGTTTCCTCTAAAAGAAGAGTCCAAGTGATGACTCAATGGCTTTTCAACAGCCTAAAAAAAATTAACACTCAAATGCCCAGATTTGAATTATTTAATCTGATGATAAATTTACGCTTACAAATTGGTTGCATATTCTCTTTATTCTTAAAATGTGACAGTATTGTGCTTTAGAGGATCGTGGAAAGCTGGATATCATAGAGCTCTGTGTCATTCTTTTGGTAATAAAAAGAAAGTTGAATTTGATTGAATTATTGTAATTTCATATAGCCCCCACTTGCCTCTGAAATAAACATATACTGAATCGAGACAGCTCACCGTGAGGACACAAAATATACAGCAGATAAAGAAGTCATAAAAATAATCACATTATGCTTCATAACATAGTTGGGAATTAGGAATAACTTTGGGGGCATACAGCATTGACAGAAAAATAGATCAGCACACAATTAGAGAACACAATGTTTAAAAAATCCATCTCTTGAATTTGCAGTTAAGAATGAGCAATTTGTCTTTAGGCAGAAACCATGCAAACTCCAAGAAATCAAAGAAAATAAAAGTAACAATCTAGTTGCTTTACAATAAAAAGAACTAACCACCGAGCCACCACTCTGCCCTGGAGCCAGATGTGTATATCCCCAATCTACATACACCAGTTTCCACACATACACTACTATTTATAAACAAGACTGTGTCGTGACAGCGTGCGTACAATACGTCCACACTGGCTTTACATGGCGGTAATCCACACATCAGTGGCTGGGCTGAGTTTCACATGCTGCAGCATTATGACTAAGAGAAAGAAAAACATCAAAGACAGAATCTGGGCAGGATTTGGAGTCGGCGCATTGCACAGTTTCACATGTACAGTAACATTTATGAATGTGAGCGCAGTCTGTTTTCATTCATTTTCTGAAATAGTGACCTTTAGTTATCTGACTGGCAAAGTTTATTTTTGCTTTTATTTCTTATTTCGTCAGCCCTTCAGTTAATGCTAATTCAAAATGTATAGATGTAGATGGCTTTTAATGTAGAAAAAAATAAAAACAAAAAACCCATGAAGTGCCTCGTTAGGTTGACAGCACTCATCGGGACTGCAGCAGCAGAAAAAAACAA